CCCTCCCCATCTGTGTAGGGGTCCTGGGATTTCTTAGCAGCTCAGGTAGCATGGCGCCCAAGTTGTGTCATATCTTATTGAAGAGACAAATTGGATTACAAAAGTGTAAAGGTTTATGTGGTTTATGGGTATGTTACAGCACCACACCCATCACCAAAGTGCCAGTGTCTCTTTCAGGGAAATTCTGGAATTCCCCAGGCAGACAAGATTGAATAATTCTACTTTTGATAAGCAGAGTAAATATGTTTAGAATGTGAATATTCAATGTAATTTTTGCAACATCATTTCATAGCTTTTGGAGAAGTAAAACATTATTTACCTTGCTCATCTGGCTTACTGTAATGGAAATGTCTTCACTCTAATAGGTATTCTTAGAAACATTTGAACATAAACACTTCAGTATAATACCTATTTTAGAATAATATGCACAACTCTTTATTCCTCGTTCCTGTCATTTTTCCCAACTGAATTTTCTTCTCTCTCTCTCTCTCCCCCTCCCCCCTTCCCCGGGAGTCACATCCAACAGTCCTCAGGGCTTATTCCTGGCTCTACTCTCAGGAATAACTTCTGGTGGGGGGGGGCCTCTGGGGATCACATGGGGTGTCAGGGATTGAATCTGGGTCAACTGTGAGTAAGGCAGATGCCCTACAGGCTGTAATATCTCTCTGGCCCCTGAATTTTATTTTCTTTAAAAGAAAAACCAAAACGACAAAATATCTCATTTGTCCCTCATGTCTCCCTTTCTTCACATAAACAAGATTTGGTCAGAAGCATAATTTGCATATATGAAATTTGAAAAACAAATTGTGAATGTTGTGAAGCTACTGAGAGGATTCTGCCTGGCAAGTTCCCGTTGGCATATTCGATATGCTAAGAACAGTAACAACAAGTCTCACAATGGAGACATTACTGGTGTCCACTCGAGAAAATTGATGAACAATGGGAGGACAGTGCTATACAGTGCTATACAGTGCCATATAGTGCTATTTCTGAGAACTAAATGAGCTAAAATACAATACTTGGCACGAAACCTAGTATGGGATCTGCTCTGAAACAGGATCCACCTTGTCTTTTGCCTCTGCCTGCCATGCTGGGGCTTCAGTATGAACTGATGAGGCAGTCTGACTTAGCAATAGGCAACTATAAAATTCGCTGACTGACAGAACCAGCCCATACACTACCTCTGTATGAAGACTCTTATCAATTGATGCAAAATTTTCCAAATAAATGACCATAGCTCAGATTAGTATCCTTCCTGATCCTTTAAAAGTACTTTATGCCTGTGGTGGAATACACATTGGGACTACCCCTTGGTTTTAGACCTAGACCCTGATACTATTCTCCGATTAACACATACTTCCCTATCAAATTATAGCCTACTGGTTTCTCTGTCAACACTAGCATAAGGGAGGTGCTCTGTGTCGATTATTATTATTATTTACAGGACACCAAAAAGTGGAACAGAAAGATGCTATTATTACTCTGACTTTATTACTCTGATTTTAAAGATGCTGAGTATTAGTATGAAAACTATATTTTCCATCAAACAAACAAACAAACAAAAACCCCACCAGGGTTTAGAACTGCTGAAACAAGATAAGTAGACAGTATGAACAATAGAATTCAGCGATGTAGGATGCTACAAGCAAGAAAGGAAGATAAGTGTGGGTAAATGTTCTTGATATCAAATACTTTTCTTAAAAGGACAATATAATCTTTTTTTTCCCTTTTTGGGTTACACCTGGCAATGCACAGTTGTTACTCCTGGCTCTGCACTCAGGAATTACTCCTGGCGGTCCTCAGGGGACCATATGGGATGCTGGGAATCAAATCTGGGTTGGTTGCATGCAAGGCAAACACCTAACTGCTGTGCTATCACTCCAGGCCCCAGGACAATATAATCTTATATCTTAATAAGATTAAGATTATGCATGCAGCCAACATGGCCGACCCGAGTTCGATTCCTCCACCCCTCTCGGAGAGCCCGGCAAGCTACCGAGAGCATCTCGCCCGCACGGCAGAGCCTGGCAAGCTCCCCGTGACGTACTCGATATGCCAAACACAGTAACAACAAAGTCTCCAATGGAGACGTTACTGGGCTCGCTCGAGTAAATCGATGATCAACGGGAGGGCCTTTACTTTACTTTTATCTTAATACATACTCTCTTTGCAATTAATAAGATGTCTAAGCCTTAAGGGTGTTTCTCACTTGTATGTGAGAAATAAAACAGATTCTGTTTGTGAATGACTGTTTACTTAATACTCAAGAACTCCTGGTTGAAAGAGAGCTCTAGAAGTTAATTCAGGCATTCCCCAATTTATAGTGGAAATGTTAAACCAATTCTTTATTGTTGTATTGACAAAATATCAAAATCTGCTGGAAAGAAATTACTCAAATTCCATTTACATTAACTCAGTTTTGGGTTTTCTAATTCTGATACTGGGAAATTAGTGGAAGGTTTATCAAGGCAAAAACAAATGCAGTAACTTAGGACATTACAGACACAAAATACCAAATAAACGCTTTTTAATAAAATGGAGATGTCAGGGGGAAAGCTGTTGGGTTTTAAAAGCATGTTATCAACTTCACTATGTCATGCTTTCTCATTTCCTGAAACGAACAGTGGGATTAGGTTTAACATCATTTATGTGAAATAAGAAAAATGGCGAATTCTCTATGACATTTATTCAACTATTCATTCAACAATTATTAATTGGGCACCACGTGCTGTGTATTGATCCAGGTTTTGAATATTTTAAATGTATGCTGCTAAGTTTAAATAATAGTAAGCAGTAAGAATGCGACATGCTTATAAAAATGACAAAATTTCTAATGTGAAGGTTTAATAAACTGTAGTTGAGCTTGCTGTGCACCTGCACATTCTTTAATCCATATAATGATAAATCTCTTAAAGCGAACATTAGGTAATTCCTTCTAGGATCTAAAATTTGAGTAAATAGAGTATGGCTGTGGTTTGCTCTCTAGCCCATGTTATTCCTTAAATACTTAGCTTTCTTTATCTTCTTCTTTTTTCACTCCAGAGAAGTCTCTTAAACATGCATTTCTCTTTCCTCACATATAAGTAAATTTTGTGCAATAAAAACACTCTTGCTATACTAAAAAAAAAAGTGGTTGCTAAAAAGAATAAACAAATTAATTAAAAAATTGGGTTCTGAGTGGTCTCAACTCTGTTATGTCACTTAATTTTGCAGAATCAGTTTTCTTATTTGTAAAATAAATTAGAAAAATAAAACCCCCTTTAAATCCAGCATCTTAAATTGGAAGTTCTAATCAATTTAAATTGTACAATTAAACTGGACTTAAATCAATTTAAATTCCCTTTCCTGTATTGTGACATCAAATAGACAATACCACACATACAAGTAATTTTTAAAATAGTTACCAAAATATTATCTTACAGTGCAGCACCTTGCCACATATACTAGTTTTAGCTAGAGAGTGAACTTTTGTTGTTGTTGTTGTGGTGGGGCCACCCGGGAATGCTCAGGGGCTACTCCTGGCTCTGCACTCAGGGATCATTCCTGGGGTGCTTGGGGACCAAATGGGATGTCGAGGATGGAATCCAAGTCAGCCGCACTGAACCCAAGTCAGCTGCGTGTAGGGCAAGAGCCCAACCCGATATGCTATCTCTCCAGCCCACCTCCCCCCTTTTTGTTTTTTGTTTTGGGGGCCACACTGGATGGTGCTAAGGACTTACTCTTGGCCCCAAGCTCAGGGATCACGCCTCATGGCAATTGGGATCAAACTCCATCACGTGAAGGCCAGTACCCTACCCACTGTACATCTCATCCTGAGTGCGAACTTTGTAAAGTTTTGTTTCACTTGGCAGAGCAGTGGAGAAGGATGGACTTGTGCTTGTGTTTGTGGAGAAGGGGGTCCAGGGGCATTGCCAGTGCATCTGTTATCAACAGAACTTCATTTTTATTTTTCACATCAAAAGGTGTCAAAATCAAGAAGCTTAACTTTGTTGTACTGAGATTTCGGATAATTACAGCGGCAAACTAATGCAGAGAAGTGGACGTGCACAGAAGTGGCAACCATGAGAAGTGTCCCCATCTGGTTTATCTTAAGGGAAATAACGCTAGATAAAAAAGAACACTGCAGCAAAGGTGGGCCTGAGAGATAGTACTGGGGTGCAAGTCCTTGCTTTGCATGAGACACCAACTCTGCTAGGAATCGTGACACCAGCTGGCCAGGAGTGATCTGTGAGCACAGAGCCAGGGGTAGCTCCTAAGCATCGCTCCCCAACCCTCCGCCTCACCCCCAGAAAATATTGCAATGAAGGAAAAAAAAAAAAGAGAGCCAGCGCGGGGCGGATGGGGGCCATTCTGGACTGGGACACCTGCCAAACCCTATGCCAATGCGACATGCTTATAAAATTGATTTAGGATGCTGCGTGCGCTCACGGGAGGCCCACGTTCTTGCTGCAAAAAGGACCGACGTGAAAGAAAGAAAAAAAAAAAACTAAAACGGCGAGAAATTTACGCCGACGAAGGCAAACGCCTCGTCAAAAGTTTTTCACTCGATGCCACATGCCCGAGGCTGTCCGAGAAACGCAGCTCGCGGCCTCTCGCAAGCCCCTCGCACAGCCCCGAAGTTGCGTCAAGCCCCACCGTGGGGCTCGGGACCTCTGCGCTCCCACCGGCGCGCGCGCCCGTCGCCCGGGGGCGGGGAAGGCGCGGAGGTGGTTCCCCGGGAGCAGCCAATCAGCAGCGGGGCCCGGTGGTGGCGCTAGTGACGTAGCGCCGCGTGCCCCCGCCCCTCTGCGGGTCGGGCTGGGCGCCGCGAGCCCAAACGAGCCGGCGCGCCGCGGGGAGCGGCGGGGGGGAGGGCGGCGCGCCGCGGGGAGGGGCGGAGCGCGCAGGCGCAGCGGCTCGGGCCGGGCGGGGAGGGGTGGTGGGGTGGTGGGAGGCGGCCCGCGTGCGCGCGCGCAGCAGCGGCCCGCCGGCGGCCGCGGGCGGAGGGGGCGGTTCCGCGAGTGTCGGCGGGGCCTGAGGGTGGGCGGCAGGTGCCGCCGGCGCAGCCTCCGCCGGACTCTGGGTGGCCTCGTCCCGCTGCGGTGATGAGCCGGACTCCGCCGGGGGCTGCACCTGCCGGCTGCCCATCACCCGGGGCTCCCCGGCGTGACCTCGGCCTTCTCGGGTGCCCGGGCCCGGCGGCGCCGCGCGGCCCCTGAGCGGCGAGCCGGAGCGGCCTCCTCGGTTCCCGAGTCCTCGCTCGCTCGGGGGGCCGCGCGGGGAGAGCGCTCGGGCCCCCTCCCCTCCCCTCCGCCGTCCGCTGTCCTCAATGTCTCCCCGGCGGGGAGGGGGCTGCCTGGGAGACTCGCTGAGCAGCCCCCCGCCGAGGCCCGGCGCCCCGCGAACTCGGCCGGCGGCGGCGGCGGCCTGGAGGAGCCGCGCACCCGCCGCCGCCCCCGGAGCCGCACAGCCGCCGCCGCCGCCGCCGCCGCCGGACGCCCGAGGAGAGGGCGGCGGGCGCCCCCCGGGGAAGATGAAGGCGGAGGGGGGCGACCACTCCATGATCAACCTGTCGGTGCAGCAGGTTCTGAGCCTCTGGGCCCACGGGACGGTGCTGAAGAACCTGACGGGTAAATAAACTGACGGCTGGGCCCGGGGCCGGGCCGGGGTCGGGGCCGGGGATGGGGATGGGGATGGGGATGCGGTGCCGCCCCTCGCCCTCTGCCGCCCTCCACCCCCCTCCCTCCCTCCCTCCCTCCCGGGGATGCGCTCGGAGCGCGCCGGGGCCTTGGCCGCGCCACCGGGGAGGGAGGCGGGTGCGCCCGCGCCCAGCTCGGCAGCCCCTCGGCGACAGCTCCAGCTTCCCCCACTTCTGGGGGGAGGCTCCGACCCCCGCATCCTCCCCCTGGCGCTGTAGTACGCGCGGAAGAGCGTCCCTGCTGACACGGGAGCACCCCCTTTTCCTTTGCACCCCACCCCCACCGCGCACACGCACACGCACACGCGGCTGGCTGTTGAGATCTTGGATTCTGCTGTCGCTTGCTTTGCTTTTCTTTCTTTTTCTTTTTTTCTTTTCTCTTCTTTCTTTTTTTCTTTTCTTTTCTCTTTTCTTTTCTTTTCTTTTCTTTTCTTTTCTTTTTCTTTCCTTTTCTGGCACACCTCTCGCCAAATGCAGGGTTTAAATCTCCCTTTCCCAGTTTACCCATTTGCTTCAACACTTCGTTTTTCGGGGGTGCGGGCTGGCGGTGCAGTGTGCGTACTATTTCAGTTAGCGGGTGCTAGCGGGCTTAGGCAGGGCCACGGGCTAGAACCGCTATGTCTCCGCCCTCTCCGACTTCCTGGTGTCCCGTCCCTGGCCGCTTCTGGGACGTTTGATAAATGTTTTTTTTTGGGGGGGGTGGGGTGGGCGTGGGGGGGCATTTCTCTTCGTCCGCCAAGACTATCAGGAAGGAACTCCACTTAACTAGGGTAGCATAATTAGCAGCAGTGTCTGGATGTCCAGAGTGGACCGTAGGCTCATGTTTTTATCGAGTCTTGCAGATTGGCTTTGTGAAGAAACTTTTTGGGTCTGATGAAGGCGGAAATGTTTATAGCCTTGGAGTTCTGCCTTTTAGAAATGCCTTCTGCAAGCCAGTGTGGACAGGCGAAATTTATTCGTCATTTGCCTACTTCTAAGAGAGGAAAAAGAAGACTCTCGGGATTTGATTATTGAAAATGCATAAGGCAGCTGATTTTGATAGCCCTTTATTCCTAATGCATCTTGGTCGAACGAGTAAAGGCCATAAGGAGTCTTTAAGGACCTCTTTTGGCAGAATACATCCACATACGAGTGTAGGTAGGTAATTTGTATGTAGGTATAGACATAATCTGGCAGGATGTGTGGAATTTTGATAGTCATAGATAAAAATTTTATGGAGTAGTTGTGTACCACACAGATGACTTAAAAAAAAAAGAAAAGAAAAAAAACCCGCAGGTTTTCTTGACTATGGAAACTAGAATCTACATAGATTGATTCGTGGTATCCTCACTTTTAATCTGTGGTTATTTACCTTGGAACATATTGACTATATGATAGTTGCAGATCAGGAACAAATGCAGTGACTTAAAGACCATTTCATGATTCAGTGAAAGTTAGAGGCTGACTAGCTTCCAGTGGCTTTGCTTGTATTTACTTAATGTTCATTTATGATCAACTAGTTGTGTTTATTCCAGGTGAAATGAAAAGGGAGGACTTTATATATAGGAGTATATGTATGTTTTTGTATAGGGTAGTAACTGACTTTGCTTATTGTGATAGAGACAATTAGCGTAGGGAGCCATCGATTTCATGTAATTTACCCCTTGTCCAGATTTAACAATAGTTTTAAATATTTAGTTTCAAACTCTAGTTATTACAGAGGCTTTTAATTCCAGAAGTCAGCTATTAAGTTGATAATTGTGATTTCAACCCAAATTACCTCTAATTATCTCTTGTAATCTTAACTGTCAGTTGCTTATCAGACTTTGCTGTTTCATAAATGATGTGCGGAACATCTAAAACCAAGACTAAAGAACTTGGGAAACTTTTCTAGGAAATGAGTTTTCTAGGAGTCTAAGCATACAAAATTATGTTGGTCAGGATAAAAATAGAGAAAAAATTAGCAGTGCTTTGCTAGGTTAAGCAATTTTATGGCATAAAAAAGTGGACTAAATAGTAATATTCTGATGTAGTTTGTTGTGCCCGACTTCAAGCTGTTGATTTTAGTAATCTGACGCAAGAGATGCAACCCACAGTACTGTTTAGAACTTGATCTCTTAAAAACAAACAGGTGAAACTCCAAAAACAAGACACTATTGAGTGCCCTCTGTAGCCGGCACATTACTTTCGTTATTTCTCACCTTTAGAATGGCTCTTAAACATAGATTTGCAGTGATGCTCAGACAGGCAATTAAGTTACCCTAAATCTTCTAAATTAGTGTTTGCCAAAGTGGGTCCCTCCTGCTTAGGCACTGAAAACTATCCAAGAGCCATAGTAACCTCACAGGTGGCGAGTGGGGCACACCTTGTTTGCTTTTAAAGAAGGTAGATATGGGTGAGGGTACTTTTTCTTTTTTTCTGAAAAGTGGGAGGTAAGCCAAACAAGTGTGGGAATCTCCGATGGTAAATAACTGATCGAGTCCTTAAACCCAAGTGTTCGCCTGCAGAACTCTTCTTTTCCTTTTACTATGCACTTTTAGCTACTTCTGCTTTATTCCCTTCAGATACAATCAGTTGCTTTAGGTTCTATCTTTTATACTTGCTTTTATTAATATATTTAAAAGTTATACTATATTTTTTGTCTCTTCTAGACTGAGATATTTGAATTTCTGAAAAATTTATTTTCCAAATTACTGAATTCCAGAATCACTAAGTTCTGAAACTCCTGCCTTATAGTACCTGTCATGTAACAGTTGAATTTTTAAAAAAGTAGTAATGTAGCATATTTTAATTAAGTTATATGTTAGCTACATGTGTTGGAGTGAATGTGTTAGCTAGGGAATTTGGTGCTAAATATCTTTTATAGGTAATTGCTATATCTTTATTTTATTTTTGATGGGGGCCACACCCAACAGTACTCAGGGTAACATATGTTGGGGATTGAATCCAGGTCAGAGAATGCAAGCCAAGGGTTTTACCTGCTGTGCTATCTCTCCAGCTCACTTGTTAGATCTTTAAAACATTTGTATGAACTTTTTGGTGCTACTTAGTCCCACAGTGCTTTTGTGTCTCTTAATCTTTTCAGTAATCTTGAGAGGTATTGTTCGTCTTAATTTGGCACATTCAGACAGTTAAACATAAAGAGTGACTTAAATCTGATAGCTAGTAGGTGAAAAACGATTTTTTAAAAGTTATCTTTACACACTGAGTCAGAAGATATTTTTTGACGAGGAAATGGGCAATAGAAAAGAGCCTACAAGGGGACTGGCTCAAATGATAGAGCAATGTGTAAGACCCTGAGTCTTTTCCAAATATTACCCCTGCTCTCTATGGCTGGAGATTGCCCCTCTATATTAAAAAGAACAGCATACTATAGAACTAGATTGCCTGGGATTTAAGAAATTTAGTAAGTTTTCAGAAATAGTCTCAGTAGAAATTCTTCTTTTTTTGGGGGGGGGGTCACACCCGGCAATGCACAGGGGTTACTCCTGGCTCTGCGCTCAGGAACTACCCCTAGCGGTGCTCAGGGGACCATATGGGATGCTGGGAATCGAACCCGGGTTGGCCGCGTGCAAGGCAAACGCCCTACCTGCTGTGCTATTGCTCCAGCCCCAGTAGAAATTCTGATGAACATGTCTTGTCATACTTTTTTGCTTCATACAAAGTAGGAGTATGATTCTGGCTCTTTGGTTGGGAGCAAACCTGGCAGTCTAACTGGGATCTCTCATATAAAAAGCATGTGGTCCAGCTCTTGAAGCCTTCTACCGAGCTCCAAACTTTGTTTTATACCTTACTCCATGGGTGAAGCACGACAAATTTTATATAAACTATCAAAAGTTCCAGTGACTTTAGCCAAATAGATTAAATCTTGAATGAAAAATATTTTCATCACAAAATATCTTCATATAAATAGGGTGAAACAAACATTTACCTTGGTCTAGTTGCTTGTGCTCTTGTGAATCTTGGAAAATTAGGAGCATACATGTACTTTATTGTAATAGTATTTTAAAAAATTTTACTGGGGAGAGGGCATGTTCCCAAGGAATGCTCAGGAGGCCCAGAGGACTACCCCTCTCCTCAACCAGGAGTCTCACCCAGGCCAGTGGGGCAGTGCTAGAGCCTCAGGATGCAAGGCTGGTTACAGAGATTACCGGGGCAACACCTGGAGTGCTTGAGAAGCCTGTGATGCTGCATAGGTCAGGCACATACCTTGCATAGGCCCTAACTGCTAGTCATCTTCCAGCACCTCCTTTTTCGAATTTTTTTTTTAAGTGAGGGGTTTCCCTCAATGGTCTTCTGGGTATTTGGGGCTATTCCCAGTGATGCTAGCCCAGTTCAATACTTGGCTCTAAGATTCTATGCTGCTTGGGCTCAGGTGTATTCTTGGTCCGTCAGGGTTCCCCCAGAAGTTCTCTGGGTTGGGGGGTGAGGGTTTGGATTTAAGACCTTGTGATCTGTTACTTGAACTATTTCCAGAGTCCTGAAAATCATTTTGAGGAATTTAGGTTGCTAGCGATAGCACAGCGGGTAGGGCGTTCGCCTTACAAGTGGCCAACATGGCCGACCCGATTCCTCCGCCCCTCTCGGAGAGCCCGGCAAGCTACCGAGAGTATTCGATATGCCAGACACAGTAACAACAAAGTCTCCAATGGAGACGTTACTGGGCCCGCTCGAGCAAATCGACGATCAACGGGAGGGCCTTTACCTTTACCTTTTAGGTTGCTAGATCAATGAACATTAGCTTATAAATAAGCAGTTTTTCACCTTTCATTTGATGAACTGTCTCAACTATTGAATGTAAATCAGTTTTTCACTTTTTCCCCCCATAATTATGAAATGACTTGTAAATAATTCTTACATTAAGACATCGTATGATTTCACTCATTTGTGGTATATAGAGAAACATGAGGGAATAGACAGTATTGAATGATGATAAACCCTTGGACTTCAACT